TAAACTCTTTATTTGGAAGGTGAGTGTGTGTGTGTGTGTGTGTGTGTGTGTGTGTGTGTATGTTTCTTCAGAGTTGAGGAAATTATTAGGATGTATGTTTAAAATATTTGAAATACTTCTATTCAGAATGACTTCCAGAAAGAGGTTTCTGTTTAACCACAATGGGTGGACATGTTTATGTCAGCTCATTCTTGCCAACTCAACCATTTTAAATATCCTCTGTTACCTTAATGGTAAGGAGTTGCTCTGCCAACTCAAAGAAACACAGTTCTAATCTACCAGCTACCCCATGAGAGAAGGATGGGCAATCTCCTGTTAGGTTTACTGTCTCTGAAACCCACTGGAATAACAGCTATGAGTCTGTTCTTATTCGGTGGTATATAACAACAACTTGGCCAATAAGATACACAAAAAGTTAGTATGTTATTGACTTTTTACTTTTGAATTACCAATAAGTTTTGGCTTTTTATAATGTATTTGCTGGCCATTTGATCTTTCTCTTTCATAACTTGCCTGTTTGTGTCCTTAATTCATTTATTTCAATTAGTAAATCCAGCTCATCCATGTAAAATTGTTACTGTTGATTGCCGTTAAGTCGAGCATGACTCATAACAACCCCATGAACAAAAGGCCTGAAGCCTTTCTACAACTATTGTAATTTACCAAAGTTCATAGAGTTTCCAGAGGCATGTTGTTTAGGAAGTGGATTCCACTCCTACTTCTAAATGTAAAAATAATGGGTTGTTTCTGAAAACACTGGTTTTTGATAGTCAAGTCAATGGAAACAATCTAAACTTCCAGCTCCAGGTATTGATTCCCTAAATTACTGTCCTGTTAAACTCTATCCAGTATTAGATGGTATCACAGAAATGCATCTATTGGCATTACAATACAATACAGGGAGAATAAACTAAAAAAGTGTGTTCAGTAAGAACTCATTCTTTTAAAATCTGCCTGTGACCTGTAATAATGTTAGAAATATATATAAAATACCATGTGCCAGATCCTTTACAAATATCATACTCTGAAATAGGCTGTACTGTCAACCCTGTTTTACTGAAAAAGAACATGCGATATGAAGAAATTATGAAACTTAAAAAAACATTTTTAAAAAATAAATGATGGCACTTGCTCAGAGTGATGTTGCAGGAGTGTGGCGGACTAGGATTGAGATCCAAGCAGTGAGACTCCAAAGGTATGCTGTCTAGAACCCTGCTCACTGACTGTACATAAATGCTTAGATCATGGTACAGATGCCCGTGCACCCCAAAGAGCATATACACCGTACAGTCTCTGCATAGGAGGAGGTCCCTCACTCACTGACAGCAAGTCAGGATCCACTCAGAGCCGGCCTTTAAGTGGGTTGTTGAAGGCTGTGAATCACTTAGGACCGGATTGCCAATCTTTCTCCATGGTGGATGGGACCTGCCAAAGGCACAGGGCCTTACCAGCTCTGCCACTAGAGCTGCGAAGACACAATAGGCTATTTGTATGTTTTCTCCACTTAAATGTGTTTTTAACTATTTTCTGTAATGAGTTTATAGTTCTATCACAATTTAAAAATATTGAAAACGACATTTTTAAAAACAAAATATATTCCTTTAACCTATCTTGGAGAATCTAGTTTCAGTAACTGGGAAACACTGAAAAACCTGGTATCCAGCGGCAATTACATCATTCATGTTGTTGCTGCTGTTATGTGTCGTCGAGTCATTTGTGACTCATTGCACCCTAAGTAAAACAACCCTGAAACCCTGCTCTATCCTGTGCCAACTTTTCTGTCTCTGACACACCTACTCTCGTTACCCCAGTCACTGTATCAATCCATCACATCAATGGGCTTCCTCTCTTTCTCTGTCCCTCTACCCTCCCAAGCATGACGTCCCTCTCCAAGGACTGGTTGCTCCTTGCAACATGCCCAGAGTATGTCGGACGAAGCTTCAGAATCCTTGACTCCAAGGAGCAGCCTGGCTTCAGCCTCTCTAGGATGAACCTGTTTATTCTTCTGGCAGTCAACGATATATTTAATACTCTTCTCCAGCACCACAGGTCAAAGGCATCAATTCTCTTTCTATCATCCTTAGTCATTGTTCAGCTCTCTGACTCATAGCAAGCAATTGTGAAGACTATGGCCTGAATCAAGCACACCTTAGTCCCCAGACTAACATCTTTGCTCTTTAGTACTCTGGAGAGGTCCCTGACAGCAGATTTTTTCCAATTCAGTGTGTCTCTTGATTTCCTGGCTGCTGGTCCCAATAGTGTTGATTGTGGAGCCAAGCAAACTAAAGCTGTTAACAGTCTCAATCTCTTCACCATCTATCATAGCAGATAAAAACTCTTTGTCCTCAAGTCAGAACCAACTCAAAACTCACCCTCTCCTGGGTTTCTGAGACTGTAAATCTCAGAGGAGGAGATTGCTCATCTCTCTCCCAAAGAGCAGTTGGTGGGTTCAGACCACCAGAAAGACAAATCTTTGAGTTAGCAGCACAACTCCCTTTGAACTAGACCACCACAGCATGACATCTTGTTAGGTGCCATTGAGTCATCTATGACTCATAGCAAGCCTACGAACAACAGCTCTGAACCTGGTCCTATCCTGTGCCATCTTCATAAACGCAACTCAAATACAGTGCCATTGCTACAAACGACTTCACCAGAGCTCCCAAAGCACATAGCAAATGCTCAATAAAAGAACTCTATATTGAGCATCTACTTTGATACCAGATAGTACACTTTAAGGAAGGAATGTTAGTGCTGCGTACCCTCAGACAAGTCAGCAGCACGCTCTGGGCCCAGGGAGTGAAGTTAGCCTGAAGATAGCAATGGTCACTGTGACTTTGCTAAGCAACGGTGAATCAGGCGAGCTTGCTCAAGGTTGTTGGAAATTTTTGGAGAGGACCTAGGAGGGGACATTTTTCATTTTAGAGAAATAACAGGGGGGGGGAACCCCAAAACATAAAACCTGAACTACATAGAGGGCTTCTGAGTACCTAGGAAGGATTTTCTGAAGTTAGATTGCTGGACTCCTTGAGTGTGGACTTTCAGAGCTTCTCTCCATTTAAGGAGGGATCATTTTCCTGCTGACCAGTGAGGCTGAGGGGATAAGCCGTTGAGAGACAGGGTGAAGAGATGGGTGTGTGGGTAGTAACTAACTTGACATAGGTAAGGCTTAACCAATTCTGGGAGAAGTAGCTTGCTCTGTATTTGGATTAAGATGCCCTGGGGAAGCTAAGCTAATAAAGTTAGCTGAAATTGCAGCAACCATTCCTTAAAATGTATGGTTCATTGTTGGTTTGCTTCCCTCTTTTCACTCTCCCTCCCTTGCTGGACCTCATCAATCCTGCCCAGACGCCAGCCTCAACAAACCTAATACCTTTGGCTCGTAGTCTCTGAATGAGGATCTCTCCTTTCCAGACTTCAGCTTTCTGCTCTCCTCTACTGGTGACCCCCTGCTGACCAATCAGACTCTGCCTCTCAAATTCCCAAACCAGGGCCAAGATCTGATACTTGCCCCCAGTCCCTGGGATTGGCCCGACTTGTCCCTGGGCTCTCTTAAATCACAATGCCCTTGATAAATCAGTCTGTGCCTTCACTCAGAATCAGGTTCAATGGTTTAATATTCCATGTAGGCAGATGGTAACTCAGGTAATTGTGACAACCTTGGTGCAGCTGACAAAGTCTATGGGCTTAATTATGTTCTAAAGTGAAACAAAATTATCATCAGATGGAAGCAAACATAATCAAGCGGAAAGAGTTAATGTCACTTTAAAACACAACCTCATTCTGGACATTTCCATTTCATCTTCCGTAATCTCTCCCACTTCTCAATAGTCTTCCTTCACTCTCACCACAAAGCGCTGACGAGACAAAGCCTGCTTCTCCTTGAACCTAGATGCTACTTCCCAGAGGCCACATGGAGTGGCATGCAAAAATCACAGTCTGTTACTAGCCTAGCTTTCCCCATTTATAAAATGAGTATGAGGAGTCAGCTCTTGGCATTGTGCTAAATAAAGATTAAATTCTAGTCTATGAAGTACTGGGTGCTGTCTGGCTTCAGCTGTTGTTGTTGTTGTTGTTGTTGCTGAGTGCTATCAAATCAACCCTGACTCACCACTGTGCTCTACAGGATAGAGCTGCTCCACAGCAGTTTCTTGGATGCAGTATTTATGGCTGCAGATCATGAGGCCTTTCTTCCGAGGCATCTCTGTGGAGGTTCAAACTGCCAACCTTTAGGCCAGCAGCCAGTGGTGCAAATCACTTGTGCCCCACCAATTACACACACACACACACACACACACACACACCAAAAATGAACATCCACTGCTGTAGGGCGGATTACAATTCATAGAGGCCCACTATTGGATTTTTGAGGCTATACATCCATATCTCCAATTGTTGTTGTTGTTGTTTAATGCTGTCGAGTCGTAGACGACTCATAGCGACCCTATGAAAGAACAGCCTGAGCACTGTTTGTACATAAGAGTTTCCGGAGGCAAGCCATTTTGGAAGTGGATGCCGCTCCTGCTTCCAGGCTTCCCAGTCGGGAAGGTCCAGCCAACACTGTCCACCATGGGTGCCCATTACCACGATTGGCACATCACTGTCACAGGCTTCAGCATCACAGCAACCATGAGTTACCTCTGTACAGCAACGCACAGACCAGTGCTATACCACCTAGAAGAATGTTTGACAGGAAGACAATTTGAAGCCCAATTAGGTTTCTGTAAATTAATGGTAGTTGCCAATTCTGGGGTCAAGAATCATGCCTAAACTCTAGAGACCAAGCTCCCCTGGCTTCATCTTGTTCAGCCAGTGCCCCGTCTCTCCACCTCTGTGAAAACTTCCAAAGAAGCACCTTGTGACTTTCAAGTGAGCACAGGCCCAGACAGGTATGTGTGGTGGCCAACGGACAGGCCTGGGGCCCAGCCCAGGCAGGTTTCTGGGGGGGACACAGTGTCTGCCGGGTGAGCAGAGATCATTGCCCCTGCTTGTGGACACACCTGGAAGAGGTTGGCGGCTTCCAGGACCCGCTGGACGTTCTGCTTGGTGATGAGCGCCTTGCTGGTGTACGTGTAGTCCAGCAGCATGTGCATGATCTCCGCGTCCACTCCTTTGATGATGATCCTCTTTTCATATTTCTCCTTCAGATCATTGCAGAACATGGCCCTGGAAGAGAAACACGGGAATGTGAATCCTACCAGCACGCTGAGTCATCCAGGTTTGAGGAGAACCCCCTGCCAGCCGGCCTGCCCCTGGAAGCACTGAGGATCCTACACTTTCACATCAGACACTCAGTGTGCCTTGTCTGGCTCAGCCAGGGGCCTGTGGTCTCCAAGGCCATTCGTAGACCTGAGGGGATGCAAGGAGTTATCCACTGGCACAGATGCGAGTTGCTGTGGCATAAATTCCAAGTCACAGCAACACCACATATGTGTCAGAGTAGAATTGTACTCTACATGGTTTACAATGCCTGATTCCGCCCCCCCCGCCCCCCGCCTGGAAGTAGATCCTGGGACTTTTCTTCTGATGCACCTAAGTGTGTTAAACTTCTGCACCACACAGGTGTGCTGGTGAGATCTAGAACTACTTCTGTGCCTCAAGACTGCTAGCCAGAGTGCTAGGGGATCTTCTCGGGATATTGTGGGACAACTAAGCTTCATTTGTCTTTTTTTGATAAGTTCCCAGCACCTGACAAACAAGGCCTATGACCACATTCTCAATTCTCCCGTTCTCTCTGACCTGGCCCCTGGCCCCGAGTCTGCCCTGGCAGGCCGGCTGGGGCTCGGATTTCATCACAGCTGGTGCTGCCGCTGCCTTTCATCCCAGAGTCCAGGCTCCAGTCCTTGAATTCCCAGTTGCAGTTTAGAATTGCACATCCTGTTACTCTCCGACATCCCAGTGCAGATTCCAGAAGGCCTTTACTCTCTCATACCTTGACTATGCATTTCCTATTCCCTCCCTAAGACTGTGATTTTGGATTTTCAGTCTTGTTGCTGATTGCCTTTGAGTCAAGCATGACTCATAGCCACCCTATAAACAAAAAGCCTGAAGCCTTTCTACAACTATTGACATCTTTCAAAGTTCATAGTTTCCAGAGGCTTCTTGTTTAGGAAGTGGACAGAGAGAGAGAGAGAAAGAGAGAGAGAGAGATCCTTCCTTCACTCTCACCACAAAGTGCTGACGGGACAAAGCCCTGCTTCTCCTTGAACCTAGATGCTACTTCCCAGAGGCCACATGGAGTGGCATGCAAAAATCACAGTCTGTTACTAGCTTAACTTTCCCCATTTATAAAATGAGTATGAGGAGTCACCTCTTGGCATTGTGCTAGAGAGAGAGAGAGAGTGAGAGAGAGAGCACTGCAGTGGACAGGAGCCACTGTGCCTTTAAGCAGCTGTGTTCAGGAAGACCTGGGAATGAAAACATGCAGACCCAGGAGTGTGGAATCCAGTATGTCCAGTGGAAGGACAGCAGACCAAAGGTCATCCTGTCCAACAGTGAGATGAGCTCCAAATGCAAGAGGTTCTGCCAGAAGCCATGCACGGGCAGCTGGGCATCGCCATGAAGATAGAGGGTGGATTCATCTTGTTGTGGATCATCTTCATCCTGGTCTACATCACCACCTTCTACTTGCACAAGTACAACCACAGATAGATATTCCTGCAGCTGATGGCACACAGTAGGCACCACCTGGGAGAGACATCTCTGTGTCCATGGCCCTCCTTCGTGTACACTTCATCATAGAGCTTGGCACCAGGCATACAGGATATTGTACAGATACCCAGCACTCCATAGAAAGCCACAAAGGACTTGGGTATAAAGTGGAGCAGAGACCTTTCTAGCATGTTAAATTAAATAAAAATGCATTTCTGTGGTTAAAAAAAAGTGTGGGGCAGCTGAAAACAGAACAAACCTGTAGAGCACCAGGAGCCTGGGGTGGGGGATCAGTTTGGACAAATAACCCAAGTCCTGATGATGGAGGGCTGTGGAGACAGGCTAAAGACTGGCATCTTTATTCAGTGGGCAATGGGGAGCCAAGGAAAGGCAGAGGTAGGTGTCAAAGAGAACACTTTTGACCAGTACAGTTTCACTTTAGTTTGCTAGTGGTAGGTAGTTTTGTGGTCAAGAATTAACCATCTGCACCAAAAAAAGTTGAGAGTAACAACGCCAGAGAGCCTTTTCCTGGGACGTGTACTAGTTGAAGCAGTATCAACTCTACTAGGGAATGGCTCCAACCCGTTGTTATTGGGCCTTCTGAGCTGCAGACACACGAGCAGGTGCTGTAGGGAGCTGCTCTCTCCCTGACGACTCCTTGAAACGAGATGTTCCCAGGGTGAGTTCTTGAGAAAAGACTGTGCTCTCAACACTGGGACCAACATCTCAACACAGAGGGGATTACAGCTCCACACCCTGCTTTCCCACTCCTGCAGCCCCTGTTGATGCCTATAAATCACTTACCAGCTTCTTCCCTCTACTCTCCAATGCGCACAACAAGCTCCTAGTGGAGTCCCAGGACCAAGCTATCCATCAAAAAAGATAGAGGAATAACTAAAGAATGCCCTATGAAACCACGACCCTACACTCCTAAACCAAGGAGTCAGACCCTATGAGGTGTTTTCTTAGTGACTACTTTTTTTTTGGTCATTGTATTATTATAAACTTATCTATTACAGTTCTGCCAATTCAACTTTTATACAGGTAAATAACTCCTTGACAACAATTCTAACAAACAGCTGAGCAGCACAATCCTTAATCAAATTTACTTTTTGCAACACAACCCCCTCCTTTTTCCTCCCTCCTACCCCTGGTAATCACTATTACACCTATTCTCTATACATTTGGCTTTTTTAATCCTTTTATATAGGTCCTTTCGTGATTGGCTTATTTCAGTCAGCATTACACAAGAAGAAAAATCCATGTCTTTGAATTGTGGTATTGGAAAAGAGTACATGGGCTGTCAAAAGTACAATCAAATCCGTCTTGGAGAAAGTACAGCCATGGTGCCTTTTAGAGGCAAGGACAGTGAAACTTCATCTCACAGGTTTTGAATATGTTGTCAGAAGAGGCAATTCTTTTGTCGACATCTTGGAGCCCGTGAAGGCCTCCTGCAAGCAGGACTTCTAAACCACAAAGATGGTTGGGAGGCTTCGGGGCAAAGTCACTTTTGCTATAAAAGAGGTCTCCAGAACCAGAAGTAGCACACAGCTCTTCTTAAAATTGAACGTGTTTATGCCCAAGATGAAGCGGAATTCTATTGAGGCAAGAGAGGTGCTTATGTTTTTTACAAAGCAAAAAATAATACAGTGACTCCTGGTGGCAAACCTAACAAAACCAGAGTAATCTGAGGAAAGGTAACTGATGCCCAGGAAACAATGTCATGGTTTGGGCCAAGTTTCAGAGCAACCTTCCCGCTAAGGCCACTGGACACAGAATCCGTGTAATGTTGTATCCCTCAAGGATTTAAACTTATTGAAAAGCAAATAAAATTATGGGTTTGTTTAAAAAAAAAGAGACAATTCCTTGGAAAAAAAGATGTTATGCTGGGAAAAGTGGAGAGTCACAGAGAAAGGAAACCCTTCAACCAGAAGGATTTACACAGTGACTGTAACAATGGGCTCGAGGATGTCTGAGATGTGAGGATGGTGCAGGACAGGACAAGGTTCAGATCAAGTTCATGGTCACTTTGACGTGTAGTCTTGGGCAAACAGAACATACCAGCAACATCTTCAAGTCCTGTTCATTCTGTAGCAGGCGTCAAGACTGCACTTATTCTACTGGCTGGGTAGTATTTTACCACATTTTGTCTAACCTTTCACCTGCTAATGAAAATCAAGGTTGTTTTCACTTTTTGGCTATTGTGAAGAGTACTGCAATGAACAGTAGTGCATAAATCTCTGTCTGAGTCTCTGTTTCCTGAGCATATTCATAGTAACATTGTTCAGTGCTTCTATTAGACCTCCTAGTTTATTGTCTAGCACCTGGGTCTTCGCAATTACTTGGTATGCATCAGAGAGCTGGGATGACTAAGGACGACAGAAGAAGAATCAATGCCTTTGAGTTGTGGTGCTGGAGAAGAGTCTTAAACATACCATGGACTGCCAAGAAAACAACTACATCTGTCTTGGGGAGGGTGAAACCAAGTCTCTCTTTGGAGGCTAGGATTTTGACACTCTATCTCACATACTTTGGACATGTGATTATAAGAGATCAGTCCTTGAAGAAGGACATCATTCTCTGAAGAGTGGAGGGACAGTGCAAGAGAGAAAGACCCTGGATGAGATGGATTGATACAGTGACTGAGGCAATGGGGGTTGGTGTGTTGAAATTAGTGAGACTGGCTCAGGGCAGGGTAGGCTTCAGAGCTGTTGTATATATGGTCACTATGAGTCTCGGGTGACTCAACGGCACATAACAATAGCAACAACTTGGGTCTTTCAAGACACAAAACTTAGCCTCTGGGTCCCTGAAACAACAGGAGGAAGATATGGAATGTGTGACTGTCTCCTTTGCCGTGACATAAGGAGAACAGAATGGTGCCCAGCTACTGATCATTATGAATAATAATCTACTGATCAGTAGACTAATCCTTGGTAGAAAGGTAAAAAATGTAAAACAAAATTCCAAATTCTCTTGGAATTCAGACTTTCTGTAGCTGACTGAACCCCTGAAAATATTTCTCTGAGATGATCTTTAAAACTTAAATAAAAATATCCCCTCTGGCCTAGTGGTAAGAAATTGAGCTGCAATACCAGAGGCATGTGGTTCAAACCCACCAGCTTCTCCTGTTCTGTGGGAGAAGAATGGGCAATCTCTTCCCAGCTGCCTCTGAAAACCGGCTGGAGGTTCAGCTGTGAATGGATTCTGATTCTATGG